TCTAATTAACTCATCCCACCTTCACCACCCCTACCGCTCCGGTGACCGTTCCGATTACCGCCCTATTCCGGCGAACTTTCCGACGACCGTTCTGGCGACCGCTCCAGCCACCGTTCCGATTCCGGCGATCGTTCCCCGCGACTGCTTCGATTCCGACGACTCAGATCACAAGTCGCAGCCCAGGCCACAACTCAGGTCACAATCCAATTCACAAGTCACAGCCCAGGTCACAAGTCACAGTCCAGGTCACAACTCAGGTCACAAGTCACAACTCAAGATTTTGTTCATAGTCACCGATTATTTTCAAATGATCAAAGCATACGTTACAAATTTTTTTTGCACATGGCTGGAAAACACAACACAGATTCAAACAACCACCGCACCTCACAACCACAACCACCATACCATCACCTACATTGCACCACCGCCATTAAAAAAAAAACACCACCCCAGCTACCTGCAAGCCGGCACCACCTCACCGTCAAACCGCCATCATTTACAAACCACCACCAACTACTGCACGACCACCCAAACACCATTAAAATCACAAATTCACATGAAGGAAATAAAATTCACACTTAAAGATGCTATCCGGAGGAGGAGAGAGCCGTAACCGAACGAAATCAAAAATTGACGGTGACGTTGACAAAAACCAGGGCAGCGTCGAATTCTTCGAAGGACACACACCTTACACGAGCAGGTCATCAACCCAAACCCCTACGCCACCCACAACAATCCCTATTCAGCAGCCGCTGAACAGTTTACTCTCACAAAAATCCAGCGTTTCAATTTTCTTCTCTCTTTCTTCCCCATCTCCCTGATCCAAAATCAGCTTCATGAATCTCACATCCTAACTGAAAGCATCCATCCATATTCATGAATGGCGTCCTCCGCTCCTCCTCCGACGCCGGCAGCAGCTTCGCGACGTTATTGTCGGCGTCGCAGCAGCTTCGAGAATTAGGGCAGCATTAGAAGGGGAGGGAGGGGAAGGAGAGGAAGAAGAAGGGGAGGAGAAGGGAGGAGAGGGACAGTAGAGAGAGAGAGAGATACGGGAGGAAGGGGGGGTGAGGGATTTACAGTGAAAAAATTAGCGATTTTATGGTGGTGTAACGTGTGTATTGCATGATAAATATTTAGTAAAAATATTTACTTTATAAAAAATTTAATTAAAATAAAATATTTGATTTTGGAATTAATAAAACTTGGATCTGATTTTGGAAGTTGGATCTTGAAACATAAGGTTAGGTGTAATTACCACTTTTAATTTTTCACCATGAATTTGCTTCTGGGTTGGAGAATTAAATTTTGGGTTGGACTAATTTTATTCTTTTTAGTTTTTCACTATGAATTTGCTTCTGAAATGATGTTATTATCAAAATAAGTAATATGCTATATATTTAATTTTATTAGTTTAAAAATATATTTGTTAGAACTTTATTACGAGTGTTTAAAAATATATTATGACCAATGTTTTAAAAACTGACCTGGTCATTGACCCCAAAAAAAAGTGAAAGTGTCAAAATGTTCAACCGAGATGGAACCGTGATCGAACTGAATGCAATAAATACATACAAAAATAATAAAATACCATGAAAACAATAAATTTTTTTATTTTCATATTAATAATTCAAAGTAAATCTAGTTTTGTTAATTAGATTCATTATCCTACAATTAATCTCGATACTTCAAAAACTAAAAATCAATATGTTAAAATAGTTTACTTTGTTAAATTGAAATAGTTTAAACTTATAGAAAATGATATGTAGCATTAATATATTAATAATCAAGTGCGATTTAAGTTAAATTTGAAAATTAAATAAATCAAAGGATAAAGGTGAATATTACAATTTAATTAGTTGGGATTCAAAATCAAATTAGTCAATTAAACATATATTTGAAAAATAATTTTGATGGACATTTTAACATTTTTTTGTTATGCCACAATCCCACATTGGAAGTTTATGAAATCATTTGAGAGAAGTGCATCTAAAAAATGAACATGTCATCCAATAGTTTTCTATGGGCCTTTGAATTGTAATTTATGAGGTTTATTCATGAAGTTAAAAATTTTTAAACTAAAAAAGAAAAAAAATTTGGGAAAAGCACCAAATCGCGACCAATTCACTAGTTTGCGGTTGAACTGGCCGGTTCAGTGAGTTTTGAACGATTTGTCATAATCAGTTAACTGGGCATGATTTTGCCCGATTTTGGGTCCAGTTTTTGTTTTACCGTGTGGTTTAGAGTATCTTTTATGGTATAAGTTCATTGAAAAAAAATTAAATTTCAACCCAACCTTTCTGGCGCTACCCCTGGGTGCAACTGATTTCCCTTTGGCTCTGCTTGAACCCCCGGCTTATTTTTTGCTGGTCAATGCTTGGAGAAGACAACATGCTTTCACAAACCAATCCCAGGAGTTGCCATGAAATGGAAGTCATTATCAAGTCTTTGAGATATATCTTAAAAGATCAATTTTATTAAGAGGAATGATTCAGACTCTTATGTATATATTTTGATAATTAGTCAATAAAAAATTTATCTTTTAACCGTTAAGAGGATAGTTGCTCCTTGTCAAAAGATGTCATTAATTTCTTCTTTCTTCTCCGAAGCTGAAGCCTCCTCTACGTCAAACAAGATAAGAAAGTGGAGTGAAAATTTTCTAAAACTTAGCAAGCAAATTTAATTTAAATCAAAATCAATAATTAATTTTAACCACACATTTTATGGGATCCACAATTTTTCAACCATACATTTAATTAATTTTTATCAAAATTTACTAAAAATCTGATTTTAATCCTTTCCAAATTATAGAGTTAGTTGGTCATGACTTACCAAATTGTGTCACGATTACAAATTTAGTCATAATCACAAATTTTTTAGGTCACAAATTAACTAATTTATTGGTCACAACACCCAAATAATTAATCACAAACACTCTTTGTCCCAATCATTCACTATCGTCGTCGCCGCCGCTACCACCACAACCACTGGTATGACACTCTACCACCACTAGCACCGCCATCTCACCACCACTGCCAATCTTCATCCCACTCCTACATCGCCGTCGTTGCCACCACCACCACTGCCATTTTACCACCCCTGCACAAGCACCACCACTGGCTCCACTGGCTCCATTGCACCATTACAACCTCACCACACCACCACTACACAACCACCTAAAAGCAAGATGCAAAATAAGAGCGTGGGGTGCCATTGATAAAGAAAATCACAAGATCCAACTCAACAAAGAAACACAAAACACAGATGAAAAAGAAAATCATTGGTAGTAGAAACGATGGGCGCGTGTCGCCGTTGCTTCACGTGTAGCACCGTCGCTCACTAGATCGCGCCATACTTAAGAAGCAGCGGTGATGGATGCGTCTCGCAGCTGTTTCGATCCTTGTGCCGCCTACCACCAGATCTCGCCATACTTAAGATGCAGCAACACCTATTCTCGCTATACTTAAGAAGTAGAGGTACTAGTTGTCGCTGCTGGCACCTGTTGCTGCACGAACAGGTGTCAACATTGCGACTTCAGCGAAGTTGTCGAAGGAATGGGTGGAATGGAGAGGGGGATGAGAAAGTAAGAAGAGAGAATATGGAGAGTGAGAAATGATTTTTAGAGTTTGGGATGAAATTGTGTTGGGGTCGATAAATTTTATAATATTATTATAGTAGTTGAATTACCACCTGATTTTTAGTTAAATAAATCTTATATTTTATTTTTGAATTGTCATCTTTAGAAATAAGTTGGTGTGTAATTTTCACTCTTATCATTTACCTCCTTTTTACTTTTTCCTTTTCTTTTAATATTCACGTATATTCAAGTTGATATTTTATATTGTATGTATAAAGAAAAAAAGTGAGGGAAAAATCAACTTTATTTGGGCTTCCTATTGGGTTTTCCCCGTTTCAACTTTCAAATGAATATAATTCAAGTTGGTTCTTAATTAAAAA